GGAAGAACAGGAGGCCTATTAAATTATATTATATTTTTTATTTGTTAAGTAGGAATTTATTTAATAGGAAAAAAATATTTTTATACGGTTTATTTTTCTATTTTTTTATTTATTTTTATTTATTATTTTATTTTGATTTTTTTTGTGTGTGTGCGGGTGAACGATTAGGTTTAGTGGACTTTTGAGGGGAGGTGGGCTCCTTTTAAGTGCAACGGTTTTATTTTAAAATATTTTTTTCTTGACTAAAAATCGTTGGAAATATATTTTCCCCGTATATGCAAGTAAACTCCTGTTGTTTACGAGGTATCATTTGAATGTTCTATATATATATAGGATTTTATACTTGTATTAATAATTCTTTTATAACTGTTATTCGAATCTTTATGTTATTGTGGAACTTGTCTCCATCTTGTGTGTGGGAGATCACCAATTTTCTTTCGCTAGGGTCTGCTTGAACAGTTCCTACTCCTTTCAAACTCATCAGCATGTTTTCGTTTTTACTCTTTCCTTCCTGCTTTCAAGGGGAAAAGTTAATATTGTGAATTTATCAACATAAGATTGTATTTTAACAAGAGGGTCTAATTCAGTAAGGTTATAAAAAAGCATATATATATATATAAATCTATATATTTATGCCTTCCTTTGACTTGCATCCTGGTTTTGCGGGGCAATCTATCCGCAGCAATCCATGGATGCCTTCGCAGTTCGTCGTGGCCTCTTCGCAGCATTTTGGTGTGGTTGGATCTGGTAAGGTCTACATCGTTCAGACCACTCCCGGTTTCGCCGCCGGTAGTCCGGTCCAGCTCGTTGCGTGTTGGGGGACCCCTGACGGCGCATTTGACGCCTGTTTCAGTGAAGTTGACCAGAACATACTTGCGGTTGCGTGCGGAGATGGCGTGAAGGTGTTTAACATTCAACAGTGTGCGAACCGGGACGGCGCGATGCCGATGGTGCACAACGCGGAGCACCAGAAGGAGGTATCGTGTGTTGTGTGGAACTCCTGCAAACGTGACACGTTCTTTTCCGCGAGCTGGGACACCACATTAAAGATGTACAGCGCCATGAACCCGAACGCCTCGATTGTGACAATGCAGGAGCATTTTAAGGAGGTCTACGAAATCGCAACGACCGCGCACAGCCCAACCTCGATTCTCTCGTGCTCCGGGGACGGCACGTGGAAGCTGTGGGACACCCGCACCGCGCCGTGCCGCTCCGTCCTGACGCAGATGGCGCACCAGGGCCAGATTGTGCTTTCCATTGACTTCAACAAACACGACCCGAACCTCTTCGCGACAGGTGGGGTAGACCGCACGGTGCGGCTATGGGATGCTCGCCGGCCGGCGGAGCCACTGGCTTCGCTGCCTGGTCATCAGCAGGCCTGCCGCCGCGTCCGGTTCTCCCCGAACAGCCGCACACTGCTCGCGTCGGCTGGTTATGATATGCGCGTCTGTGTATGGGAGCTCAACCAACCCCAAAAGCCTATGATTGCGTGCTACTCCCACCACAGGGAATTTGCTGTCGGCCTCCAGTGGTCTGCGGCGGCTCCAAACAATTTAGCTACCGTTTCGTTCGATGGGACGGCCTTTTTCCTGACTGTTGGCCAGATGCCAACCCGTTCGCCACCTCAGCCGCTCCAAGTATCTGCGGTCTCTCCACCTCGCATCCCACGGCCACGCACCAGTCTACTTCCTGGGCTACCGCAGGCAGGTCCACCATTGCCCTTGTCCCCTCGCTCTCCGCGTTGAAATTGCGGCAAATACCTTCAATTTGAGTAAATAACGGTTATTAAATGATCTAGTTTCTCCTTTAACGGCTAATAGCATTCCTTGGATATATCTATATATATAATCCTTTCTGCTGAAAATGCCCATCTAATTACGCTATCAAAATCAAAATGACTAATCGCTCAATTTAATCACCACATCAAAGGAGTGATTTTAATTTCCACCATTATGTTTGTTTATATTCTTGTTGTTCCTTCTAATATATATAGGTTTAAGCCTTAACTGATAATTGTCTAGAGAAGCGAAGATTAAGTTTATCATGCAGCCCAAAGTCCCGCAGACAAGAAGAGCCCCGACATGGCAGCGCTGTCAGAAACAATTCTCGGGCATCGACTTTAATGTGCAGGACCGCCGCCACCACGCTCGCATCTTATTGGAATCGATGCAGCGTCGCAACCAGCTGTTTCCACTCAGCAATGAGGATATTGCCCATCGCTTGCATCGATACCGTGATGCACCAAACGAGGTCCTTGATAATGTGCAGTTGCGTCTTGATAGGGTTAATGAAAATACCTCTATCAGTCCCTCAAAAAAGATTGGCCAAACACACAAAACAAGCGGTGAAAAGAGTGAGAATGGTGAAAAAAAAGAAGCACTGCCACCCCTAACAAAGGTTCTTGTCAACTGCCCGGCTACTACCGCTCAATATGACGAGTGGCTAGCCAATGGCTGCCCCACGGCGGATTGGGATGTATTCTTGCATGAGGAACTCTACGGCCCTGAAAAGGACAGGGACACTTTCTACGCTCTCAAATACTCAGTAAAAACGACACATTGATTAATAGAAAATTTATATCAACATTTTTGAATTATTTTTCGTGTCCCCCTTGTTGATTGTGTGTGTGTGTGTGTGTGTGTGTGTGTGTGTGTGTGTGTGTGTGTGTGTGCGTCGCCGTGTCTATCT